ACAAAAAATTTTTTAATGTGAAATATACGTGTAGTACATAAACAATACAATGGGAAATGATGAATGAAACATTAACAGCATAACACTTACCTTTATTGGAGATTCTTCTTAGTGTATAGGAGACTGGAGGAGGAGAGAGAGTGGATTGTTTATAGTTTGGAAGGGGAATCCCCTTCCATCAACACCTCAGGTACCATTTGCTTTTCTGGGGTTGCTTCTCTTCTCTGTTTCTTAATGCCACTAGGACCACCTTGAGAGTCACTGGAGTCCTGTCTCACAAAATAACGGTGGATCGAGCTCTGTTTCTGGCGTCTCTTTAACACTTCCCTAAAATGGCCCAAGACTTTGTCACTGTACATGTTGCCAACCTGGCTCGCAACAACCTTGTTAGGGTGATGTTTCTCCATAAAGTGGTGTAATGAAGGTCCTCTTTGGCATTTTCTTCCAAAAGAGGCCTGTTTCGTCACAATTGAACACTTGTTCAGGTTTCAGTCCTTCACTGTTTATGTACTCCTGGAATTCATGCATGTATTTTTCAGCCTCCTTGTGGTCCGAACTGGCAGCCTCACCATGCCTTACCACACTGTGTATACCAGTACGGTTCTTAAATCTCTCAAACCAGCCTTTGCTGGCCTTAAATTCACTCACTTCCACCACTATTTGCAGGCAATTTCTTTACCAAATCTTCATGCAACTGCCTAGCCTTTTCACAAATAAACTAAGTCATAAGAGTATCTCCTGCTAATTGTTTCTCATTTATCCACACCAATGATAACTTCTCAACCTCTTCCAGTACTGGTGATCTCATTTTTGTCAGCATAGTTACTCCCTTTGCAACAACAGCATCCTTTATTTCATTTTTCTTGGCCACTATGGAACATAAGGTTGTGTAGGGTTTCTTATACATCCTGGACAGTTCGGCCACACTTGTACCACTTTCATATTGTTCAATGATGGTTTTCTTAAATTCATTCGTATTTCTCACCTTCTTTACCACAGGCTTGGCACTAGGAGCTTTCTTTGGAGCCATGGTAGCTTATTTAGTACTTTTTTATTATTATTATTATCACACTGGCCGATTCCCACCAAGGCAGGGTGGCCCGAAAAAGAAAAACTTTCACCATCATTCACTCCATCACTGTCTTGCCAGAAGGGTGCTTTACACTACAGTTTTTAAACTGCAACATTAACACCCCCTCCTTCAGAGTGCAGGCACTGTACTTCCCATCTCCAGGACTCAAGTCCGGCCTGCCGGTTTCCCTGAACCCCTTCATAAATGTTACTTTGCTCACACTCCAACAGCACGTCAAGTATTAAAAACCATTTGTCTCCATTCACTCCTATCAAACACGCTCACGCATGCCTGCTGGAAGTCCAAGCCCCTCGCACACAAAACCTCCTTTACCCCCTCTCTCCAACCTTTCCTAGGCCGACCCCTACCCCGCCTTCCTTCCACTACAGACTGATACACTCTTGAAGTCATTCTGTTTCGCTCCATTCTCTCTACATGTCCTAACCACCTCAACAACCCTTCCTCAGCCCTCTGGACAACAGTTTTGGTAATCCCGCACCTCCTCCTAACTTCCAAACTACGAATTCTCTGCATTATATTCACACCACACATTGCCCTCAGACATGACATCTCCACTGCCTCCAGCCTTCTCCTCGCTGCAACATTCATCACCCATGCTTCACACCCATATAAGAGCATTGGTAAAACTATACTCTCATACATTCCCCTCTTTGCCTCCAAGGACAAAGTTCTTTGTCTCCACAGACTCCTAAGTGCACCACTCACTCTTTTTCCCTCATCAATTCTATGATTCGCCTCATCTTTCATAGACCCATCCGCTGACACGTCCACTCCCAAATATCTGAATACATTCACCTTCTCCATACTCTCTCCCTCCAATCTGATATTCAATCTTTCATCACCTAATCTTTTTGTTATCCTCATAACCTTACTCTTTCCTGTATTCACCTTTAATTTTCTTCTTTTGCACACCCTACCAAATTCATCCACCAATCTCTGCAACTTCTCTTCAGAATCTCCCAAGAGCACAGTGTCATCAGCAAAGAGCAGCTGTGACAACTCCCACTTTGTGTGTGATTCTTTATCTTTTAACTCCACACCTCTTGCCAAGACCCTCGCATTTACTTCTCTTACAACCCCATCTATAAATATATTAAACAACCACGGTGACATCACACATCCTTGTCTAAGGCCTACTTTTACTGGGAAAAAATTTCCCTCTTTCCTACATACTCTAACTTGAGCCTCACTATCCTCGTAAAAACTCTTCACTGCTTTCAGTAACCTACCTCCTACACCATACACTTGCCACATTGCCCCCCTATCCACCCTGTCATACGCCTTTTCCAAATCCATAAATGCCACAAAGACCTCTTTAGCCTTATCTGAATACTGTTCACTTATATGTTTCACTGTAAACACCTGGTCCACACACCCCCTACCTTTCCTAAAGCCTCCTTGTTCTTCTGCTATCCTATTCTCCATCTTACTTTTAATTCTTTCAATAATAACTCTACCATACACTTTACCAGGTATACTCAGCAGACTTATCCCCCTATAATTTTTGCACTCTCTTTTATCCCCTTTGCCTTTATACAAAGGAACTATGCATGCTCTCTGCCAATCCCTAGTACTTGCAAGCACTAAAATAAATGGAATATTATGAAATATTTTGCTGGAGCACGCGAGGGGACCTTCGCTCACTGGTAAACAATGCCAGACTGGCTGCCGCCCTGGCTCACGCCGTGCATACGCTTCCCGGACGAACTACGACTCGCGAGTCAACCTATGAAAAGCGAGTCCATGTTTATACGAAAATACCGTATGATTGGCGAATTTTACGATTGCTGGGAACTACAAAAAGCGGGGGACCACTGTATACAGAATCTTTTTCGGAAGGCAAAAAATTTACTGAGCGACACCGGCATCATTAATATAGATGTACATAAGAGACCATGAAAGGGCTGTGAATACTGAATTTACACGCTAGAATGGATGTTGAAGTGTACAGATGTAAAAATTCAATACTGCAAAGAAAAATAGTTGGTATCTAAGGTACTAAACATCATCTTAATACTGTACTCAGAATTTGGATAAATTTATATTCAAGAAAGTTATAGGCAAGCAATTTTTTTTTTTTTTATTATTACGAATCGGCTGTATCCCACCAATGTGAATGGGTGAGTAAGTAAAAAATCCTGAGCAATTAAGCAGTTCTCCTGCATTATGGTCTTGTGATAATCCTCTCGTATGCATGAAACAAACCTATGCATCCCATCACTATATGCACATGTACATCTTTTCTAGGTAGTAGGTTGGTAGACAGCAACCGCCCAGGGAGGTACTACCTTCCTGCTAAGTGAGTGTAAAACAAAAGCCTGTAATTGTTTTACATGATGGTAGGATTGCTGGTGTCCATTTTTCTGTCTCATAAACATGCAAGGTTTCAGGTATGTCTTGCTACTTCTACTTACACTTAGGTCACACTACACATACATGTTTTTTTTTTTTTTTTTTTTCTCTCTCTCTCTCTCCAACAAGTCGGCCGTCTCCCACCGAGGCAGGGTGACCCAAAAAAGAAAGAAAATCCCCAAAAAGAAAATACTTTCATCATCATTCAACACTTTCACCACACTCGCACATTATCACTGCTTTAGCAGAGGTGCTCAGAATACAACAGTTTAGAAGCATATACCTGGAGTTTACCTGGAGAGTGTTCTGGGGGTCAACGCCCCCGCGGCCCGGTCTGTGACCAGGCCGCCTGGTGGATCAGAGCCTGATCAACCAGGCTGTTGCTGCTGGCTGCACGCAAACCAACGTACGAGCCACAGCCCGGCTGATCAGGAACTGACTTTAGGTGCTTGTCCAGTGCCAGCTTGAAGACTGCCAGGGGTCTGTTGGTAATCCCCCTTATGTGTGCTGGGAGGCAGTTGAACAGTCTCGGGCCCCTGACACTTATTGTATGGTCTCTTAACGTGCTAGTGACACCCCTGCTTTTCATTGGGGGGATGTTGCATCGTCTGCCAAGTCTTTTGCTTTCGTAGCGAGTGATTTTCGTGTGCAAGTTCGGTACTAGTCCCTCTAGGATTTTCCAGGTGTATATAATCATGTATCTCTCCCTCCTGCATTCCAGGGAATACAGGTTTAGGAACATATCCCTCCAAACTGCCAATATCCCAAACCCCTCCTTTAAAGTGCAGGCATTGTACTTCCCATTTCCAGGACTCAAGTCCGACTATATGAACATAACCGGTTTCCCTGAATCCCTTCACTAAATATTACCCTGCTCACACTCCAACAGATCGTCAGGTCCCAAGTATCATTCGCCTCCATTCACTCCTATCTAACACGCTCATGCACGCTTGCCGGAAGTCCAAGCCCCTAGCCCACAAAACCTCCTTTACCCCCTCTTTCCAACCCTTTCGAGGACGACCCTTACCCCTCCTTCCTTCCCCTATAGATTTATATGCTTTCCATGTCATTCTACTTTGATCCATTCTCTCTAAATGACCAAACCACCTCAACATGTACAAGCATATATATACACACCCCTCTGGGTTTTCTTCTATTTTCTTACTAGTTCTTGTTCTTGTTTATTTCCTCTTATTGCCATGGGTAAGTGGAACAGAATTCTTCCTCCGTAAGCCATGCGTGTCGTAAGAGGCGACTAAAATGTCGGGAGCAAGGGGCTAGTAACCCCTTCTCCTGTGTATATTACTAAATTTAAAAGGAGAAACTTTCGTTTGTCCTTTGGGGCCACCCCGCCTTGGTGGGATACGGCCGGTGTGTTGAAGGAAGAATGTACATCTTTCAAGAGAATGGATTTCAAAAGTTATTAAATATTATTTTGTATACTATTTGACAAATGCAATTACACTATACAGTAATTTCATGATCAGTTATTTCATTATTGATGAAAGAAATTTCTGGTATGGATGACTTGCAGTTAAAAAAAATTTCTCTACAGACATGCGTGGTTGTAGGTAGTGGTGGCAGCGACCCTCCAGGTGTTGATCGCATGTTCTATGCTCTGGAAGTGTTCTGTGAGAACCTAGAATCAGAGCTTCTGCCTCATCTCCCAGCCTTGATGGAGAGACTCTTTGCTGTACTGGCTGCTCGCACATCTGTCCACATGAAAGAGTTGGCTATTAGTGCCATTGGTGCTACAGGTATGTTTGTCAGGGAGCATAAATTTAATATCTTAATCACATAGTGACTCAGTTCCTCAAGAGCATCTTAAACTTGTCAAATGCCTGAAAATTGTCCTTGACCCCAGGTCATATTTTCTATGGTAGATCACTTAGGTCACTTCACTGCTGGTTGGTAGGTATCTCAAGTCATTGCTGCAGTTTTGATACAGTGGTAGTTTTAAAATTTAGTAACTCGTTTTAGACGTGTAATTTCATGATAACGTCTTTTCCCCTTGTAAATAAGCACCTTTGCATAGTACAATGTTTAAGGAATTTGGATGTCTGCTTCTTTAAGGGAAGTATTGAAGTGAATTGAAAAATGGAAGGGTATAATCACATACAGTTAACCCCTCTATATTCACAGGCAACTATATTCCAAGAGGTCCTGTGAAAATGTAAACCACGATTATCAGAAATTGAAAATCTGTTTTTCAGACTCAGATTTAAGTTTATTTCAAATGTTGAGACCAGTTCTCATTAATATCACTAATGTGATCAGTATTGACATAAGAAATATGACCAGAATACATTTGGGTATAGGAAAGCCATTTGAACAGAAATTATCAGTTAAAATGTTGGATAATGAAAACTAGAGCATTTTTTTTTCTCAGTACTTTATTATCTGGAATATCATACAAGGGTAGATGGGTTTTACCCCAAATGTATAAGTATGGGACAGCCAAGGCATAAGTTTGTCCCATACATGCAGGAGGGCCCCACTTTACAGCACTTTGCTTTACAGCAGTTTTCATTTATACCCATTCTTCATTTATTCAGACTTCCTACAATAAATATATTCACCACTCACTGTAAGGGTGAAATTATTTTAAGTAATTGTGTATAGTGTATATTAATTTTTTTAGGCCTAGCTCTATTACTCGCTTAATATATTGATTGTGTAAACATGTTATCAGACTTTTACATGCATTTGAAAGTGAAAAAAAATGCTATTTCATTTTTCAGTGATTTTCACTTTACATTGGTAGCCTGGAACCTAACCCGCTGTATAAGCGGGGCCATCTTGTATATATCAGTCTGGGGCAGCTACCTGCCTCCATATAATTTCTACCCCACAGTAGCCAGTTGCAGAAAATTATTATAGGAGTGAATAGCTTAAGGAAATTATGGCAAATATGTATTGACATTATATACTGGTATGTAATTTTTCTTCTTAAAACTTGAAAAAACTTTATTGTTTCTACTAAATTAAGGAAACTGAGAATGGTTTAGTACATTTTATAATCATTAACAAAGAGACAGAGTACTTTTTAATCAAGTTGAACAAAATTCAGCTTTCAAAATGCTTCCTTTTAAACAACTAAGTACATTTTCAGGATAAGTATCCTTAAAAAAGTTAATTGAACTTAAAAATTAGTAGTATAAGCTCCTGCACACCTCAAGCAATTTTTTATATTTCTATATAATTTCTGTTTTCCTGTATCATCATTGATTAGTGTTATTCACTTAAATTAATTGTATTTCAGCCAATGCAGCCAAGGAACACATGTCCCCCTATTTCCAGCAGATTGTGGAAATGTTGAAGGGTTATCTTACTGTTGATCAGTCTGAAGAAACTATGACCCTTCAGGTTCAGTCCATTGGTAAGTTGGTTGATGTATTGTCTTGCAGGTCATTATCTGTGTTGGGGGTCACTACCTCTGCAGATAGTGTCAGTTGTAAAATTTATGGAGAATAGTACTAACTAATCTGAAGAACATATGGAATAATTAGGTTGTTTCACAAGCCTCCCAAAAATATCTTTAAATTACAGTGGAACCCCGGTTTTCGTCCTTAATCCATTCCAGAAGGTCAGTCGAAATCCGAAATGGACGAAAACCAATTTATATTTCCCTTAAGAAGTAGTGCAAGTCCAATTAATCCGTTGCAGACACCCAAAAGTATTAACAAGACAACGTTTTATAGAGAATATAGTTTTACATACAGAAAACAATGAGAAATAAATATAAATGACTAATTTTAGTAGATAAATGAACATTTAAATCACTATTACATGCCTTTATTATTTTTCGTTGATCCACACCAACAACTACTTCACATCTTCGATTGTTTGTGATCTCTGTTTCGTTAGCATATTTACCCCTTTTGCAACATCAGCATCCTTGATATCTATTTTCTTTGCCAGGATGGAACTGATTGTTGATTTGGACTTGCCATACATCCTTGCGAGCTTGGCCACACGTGCACCACTTTTGTATTTTGCTACAAGCTCTTTCTTGAATTCTATCTTGTTTCTCACCTTCTTTACCAAAGAGCTGGCACTAGGAACTTTCTTTGGCTCCATGATGGCTTATTTCGCAGTTGCACTCAATAAACAGGCACAGAAAAACAATGGATTATTACGAAATGTTTCGGATGAACGTGCAGAGTATTGCTCACTGAACAAGTGACAGAGGCAGACTGAGTCATGTACATGTGAGCGGCCACGTCCCGGGTGGGCAGACGTATCTAATACAGACGATTTCCGAGCAGAGGTATGAAACCCGAGGTAAAACTTCGCTCAAAAGAGTGGTCGAAATCCGAATTGTACTATATCCGCACTGGATGAAATTCGGGGTACCACTGTATCATAAAATGTGGAATTATGAAATTAATTTTCTTGCTCTACTTTGAAGTTGCTTGTTGATCTGGAAGTTTGTGTAGAAGGTTTGATGTGGCACTATTGGGATGAAGTGGATGACTGCAGCTCAAGTGGATGCAGAATTGCCAGTAGTTGGTTGTACAAGCATGCTAAAGCATTTTGTAATGTCTACTCTTACGTTGGAATATTTAATGCAACTAACAATACAATACCATCTGTTGCAAACCCTGTTTCTTAGTAATGCTTCTAGATGTTAAGGCTGCCATATTAGCAGTAACATGGAGTTGCTCACAACTGCATTGCTAACTGTTTATTCAAATGTTCATCCTGTTTATCTGCCCCTCTCCAAACTGGAAATTTTCCTCTAGCATTGTCTTCATACATATCTTTAAGCCTTTGTGTCTGTTCTTGCCAGTCACCATTTCCTGTACTTGACAAATTACTGGGTGAATATCAGTGAAATTGTTCTCCACAGAAAAGCATAAGTGACCCTAGCCTGCATTCATGATCAGTTGGGGTATTTCCATGCCATTTCTACTTCAGTGCACCTGCCATGTTCAAGTTATACCAGAATTCTGGGACTCTGGATTCAGAGCGGTCATCCATTGCTACAGAGGTTTTGCATTGCCTTTTAAATAACTGTTATAATCACTGCATTGAGATGTATAGGTGGTAAAATCATAAACTTGACATTTGGGTCCACAGGAAACCTTTTAGGAAAGAGAAACAATCCACAACGTGCACTACCACAGTGTCTCTTTATCCTTTTTTTTATTTACAGAGTTCATTGCAAATCCTTTTCCCATTTTATTTTTTTTTTTTACACTGCAGTTTCTTAATCTGCTAAGACAATCTTGTGCAGCCCAGTTGGACATATAATTGATTATCTTCTGTCTTGTGTTTTATGAAAAATAGCTACCACTGGTTTACTGGTTAATAACTTTGCAAGTTTCATCAAATATCTATCAGCTTGTATACCGCAAGCTGCATTAGGTAACAAAATTTTTCAGAAACTACTGTACTAGCATTCTTACTAGTATCACCAAAAACATGCTCCAAAATGAAAGTATGATGATGATGATATTTAGTGAGTGGAGACAAGCACTGAAATTTAATATACTGTTGGAGTGGGTTAAGATTTGTGAAGGGATTATTGGAAGTCAGTTAGCCAGACTTGTTCTGGAGGTGGGAAGCACAATGCCTGCACTGTGAAGGATAAGTAAGGATGTAGGCCAGAAGATTATTTAACAAGACAGCTATTGAATGAGGAGTGTTAAATTTTCTTTCTTTGCATTTCCTTATCTTGCTTAGATTAATACACATTTTTTATCCCTATTATTTCAACTCGTAATCTAATCCTGGGGCCAAGACCATTTGGCTGGAGAATTGAATATGCACAGAATTTTTAATTTTCTACATAATGGATTTTAAGATAATTATAACATGGGAGTATATGCTGTTACACCCTTCACACAGTATGTTTAGTGTAACATTAGATGTTTAAAAAAGCAAGATATCGAAACAATGTCTCCCATTCCCCCAGCACTATATGTCACCTATGGGTTTGGCATTCCCCTGTGACTGTAGTAATAAGCTACTAAAAGCAGAAGCTCTTATGTGCATGGAAGGATATAAATAGAATTAAAGGTAACAACCCCTATTAATGAAAAACGGGCGCCACGAGTACGCTAAAAGAGACGGTAAGTGTCAGGGCCCAAGACTGTTCAACTGCCTTCCAGCATACATAAGGGGGATTACTAATAGACCCCTGGCTATTTTTAAGAAGGCATTGGACAGGTACCTAAAATCAGTACCTGACCAGCCGGGCTGTAGCTTGGACATCGGTTTGCGTGTGGCCAGCAGTAACAGCCTGGTTGATCAGGCCCTGATCCACCATGAGACCTGGTTACAGACCAGGCCGTGGGGGTCATTGACCCCTGAAACCCACTCCACATATACTCCACGTATGTTGTATTAAACATACTGTTGATAATAAGTAATCAGTTGGACTACATAGATAGGTAATTTACAATGGTCATGTTTCTTAGACCTAGGTAGTAGGTTGGTAGACAGCAACTGCCCAGGGAGATACTACCGTCCTGCCAAGCGAGTGTAAAATGGAATCCTGTAATTGTTTTACGTTATGGTAGGATTGCTGGTGTCTTTTTTCTGTCTCTTAAACATGCAAGATTTCAGGTACGTCTTGCTACTTCTACTTACACTTAGGTCACACTACACGTACATGTACAAGCATATATATACACACCCCTCTGGGTTTTCTTCTATTTTCTTTCTAGTTCTTGTTCTTGTTTATTTCCTCTTACCTCCATGGGGAAGTGGAACAGAATTCTTCCTCCGCAAGCCATGCATGTTGTAAGAGGCGACTAAATTGCTGGGAGCAAGGGCCTAGTAACCCCTTCTCCTGTATAAATTACTAAATTAAAAAAGAGAAACTTTCATTTTTCTTTTTGGGCCACCCTGCCCTGGTGGGATACAGCCGGTTTGTTGAAAAAAAAAAAAATTTAGACATAGGTAGTAGGTTGGTTGACAGCAACCACCCAGGGAGGTAGTACCATCCTGCTAAGTGAATGTAAAACAAAAGCCTGCAATTGTTTTACATGATGCTAGGATTGCTAGTGTGTTTTTTTTTTCTGAAAGATTTCAGGTACGTCTTGCTACTTCTAGTTACATTTAGGTTACACTACACATACATGTACAAGCATATATATATATATATATATATATACACACACCCTTCTGGGTTTTCTTCTATTTTTCTTGCTAGTTCTTGTTCTTGTTTATTTCCACTTATCTCCATGGGGAAGTGGAACGGAATTCTTCCTCCGTAAGCGATGTGTGTCGTAAGAGGCAACTAAAATACGAGGAGCAAGGGTTATTTGGTTTCCAGTTGATATTGGGAGAGCTATATTTGTTTAAGCTATAAGGTAGTTGGAATTCCTTTAAAGTGTGTGTTAAGCAAACAAAGTTGCATACATTGCTACTAGTTTCATTATGCAAGATAAGATTTTGTGATGAACCAAAGCATCAGAGATAGAAATGTTTTGTGCTATATTTCAGACACTCTTGGTCAACTAGCACGGTGCATGGGTGTAGAAAACTTTACAGTGTATGCCCCAGATTGTGTGACTTTGGGCTTGGGGTTGATGGAACGCAAGGATGACCCAGACGTGCGTAAGACCTGCTACCTTTTGTTTGCATCCCTGGCTTCTGTCATGAAGGCAGATATGGCTCCACATTTGCCCAAGATCATGGAGCGCATGATGCTTTCCTTGAGAAGCACTGACGGTGTTGTGGTAAGTATAACTTTCAAAAATGCCAGATAGATGATGTAAATGCAGAAAGAGGCTTTTCTTGTATAGCTCCTGGCTTGTTCAACAGGTTAAGTGTCTGTGAAGTCAGGAATTTGTCTTAGTTGAAAATGCATCTCTTTTCAAGACCTTAAGATTCTTATAATCATTCTGTCTCACCTGAATACAAGCTTTAGTATTTCTTAATCATTGTTGGATCTATGGCTTGATGTTCAAACACTTGCGAATTTCTTGAAAAAAGTACTCTAGAATAACAGAATCCCAAATTATTTTTTTATTAATTATCTATATTTTTTATTAGTTTTCATAGTGTTGACTGTTCTATTTCAATTTTGTTAAATTTTACTTAAATTTTCTGCCAATTCTTTATACTGAGAATTTTTGTGAAATTTAGCCAGTGTCCAACAACTAGTGTTTTTTGTCTTTTGCTAGTAACAGCATCCATATTTTGATCTGGTGCCTTCTGCCATAATATAAACAGTAGGCTCCTGTACTAATTTTTACTATTACATCATAACCCCAATAATTTTCTACACTAATTCTGGAACTAACATATATCATTCTACTCCCTTCACTATAAACTGGAAAAGAAGTACTTTCTTTCCTTGAGTGCAATAGCTGACCACCTCGGTTGTGTGTGTGTATTTAACCCTTTGACTGTCGCGGCCATATATATACGTTTATGAGGTACCGCGTTTGACGTATATATACTCATAAATTCTAGCGGCTTCAAATCAGGCAGGAGAAAGCTGGTAGGCCCACATGTGAGAGAATGGGTCTGTGTGGTCAGTGTGCACCATATAAAAAAAATCCTGGAGCACGCAGTGCATAATGAGAAAAAAAACTCCGACTTTTTTTTTAATTAAAATGCCGACTTTGTGGTCTATTTTTGTATAGTATTTATGGTTGTATTCTCGTTTTCTTGGTCTCATTTGATAGAATGGAAACTATATTATAGAAATAGAGGTGATTTTGATTAATTTTACTATAAAAAGAACCTGAAAATGGAGCACAAAGTACGGGAAATGTTTGATTTTTGCCGATGTTCAAAAGTAAACAAATGATGTCATTGTCCAATAAATGTCCAAATAGCCATTCTAATATGCAGTCATGAATGGGTTGATGTAACTTTTACAATTATTACAGTATTACAGTAGTCTGCATAACAGTAAATCGTCTATTTTTTGTTTGAATAAAATTTCAAAATTAAAGCAAGAGTAATATCACAGGGGCCTGGAGACATGACTGATGAACAAAGAAAATGTTATTTTAGAGCCAGGAATGTCTGCATTGTTCATTCTGGTCCTTATTTTGAAATTGTCATATTTTTTAATTTTCGTGAAATTGGCCAAATTGCAAATTTCTGACCATGTTATTGGGTAGTTGAAATCGGTAAATGGGCAGTTTCTTGTACTCAATCGATGGAAAAAATGGAGTTCTGAAGAAATAGCTATGAGTTTGGCTGACTGGAATAATGGAATTAGCCGAAAATAGGGCTCAAAGTGGGCGAAATCGCCGATTTGTAAATATCGCCGAGGTTGCTAACTTCGCGAGAGCGTAATTCCATCAGCTTTCCATCAAATTTCATTTTTTTGGTGTCTTTACAATCAGGAAAAGATTCTCTATCATTTCATAAGAAAAAATAATTTTTTTTTTTTAAATTTGCGACACCAGGAGACACCTCAAGATTGGGGGTTGCGACAGTCAAAGGGTTAATGTGCATCTTTATAAAAAACATAATTAGTAGTTATTTTGCAAACAGCTAAATTTGATGTTCTGTATTTGCGATGTATTGCTTTAAAATGTGATTATTATTATGTATAATCATCGTTGTGATTTCAACAGACACATTTCAAAGATGATGAGACTGGTCTGCCAACAACCATAGAAGGATTGAGTGAATCTGAGGAGGAGGAGGATGGAGAGGTGGACTTGCTTGGCAATGAGGATGGAGATGATGAGGACGTTGCTGGTTATTCAGTAGAGAACGCTTTTTTGGAGGAGAAGGAAGATACTTGTGTTGCTCTTCGGGAATTATCGCTTCACTGTGGGTAAGTAGAGGTGTTTTTTTTTTCTATTTTGAACTTATATATTTAAAAAATATAAAAACTTTACGTTGATTTTTATGTTTTCTTTCTTTCAACACACCAGATGTATCCCACCGAGGCGGGGTGACCCAAAAAGAAAGAAAATCCCCAAAAAGAAAATACTTTCATCATTTAACACTTTCACCTCACTCACACATAATCACTGTTTTTGCAGAGGTGCCCAGAATACAACAGTTTAGAAATATATATAAAAATACACAATATATCCCTCTAAACTGCCAATATCTCAAACGCCTCCTTTAGAGTGCAGGCATTGTACTTCCCATTTTCAGGACTCAAGTCTGGTTATTTATAAAGTAACTGGTTTCCCTGAATCTCTTCACTAAATATTACCCTGCTCACACTCCAACAGATCGTCAGGTCCCAAATTCCATTTGTCTCCATTCACTCCTATCTAACACGCTCACACACGCTTGCTGGAAGTCCAAACCCCTTGCCCACAGCACCACCTTTACCCCCTCCCTCCAAACTTTTCAAGGACGACCCCTACCCTGCCTTCCTTCCCCTACAGATTTATACGCTCTCCATGTCATTCTACTTTGATCCATTCTATCTAAATGACCAAACCACCTCAACAAACCCTCTTCAGCCCTCTGACTAATACTTTTATTAACTCCACACTTTCTAATTTCCACACTCCGAATTTTCTGCATAATATTTACACCACACAGCCCTTAGACAGGACATCTCCACTACCTCCAACCGCCTCCTCGCTGCAGCATTTACAACCCAAGCTTCACACCCACATAGTAGTGTTGGTACTACTATAGTTTCATACATTCCCTTCTTTGCCTCCATAGATAACATTTTTTGCCTCCACATATATGTCAATGTACCACTCACCTTTTTTCCTTCATCAATTCTATGATTAACCTCATCCTTCTTAAATCCATCTATTGACACGTCAACTCGCAAATATCTGAAAACATTCACTTCTTCCATACTCCTCCTCCCCAATTTGATATTAAATTTTTATATATCTAAATCATTTGAGACTTTCATCACCTTACTCTTTTCTAGGTTCGCTTTCAACTTTCTACCTTTACACACACTCCCAAATTCGTCCACTAACCTTTACAATTTTTCTTTAGAATCTCCCATAAGCACAGTATCATCAGCAAAAAGTAACTGTGTCACTTCCCATTTTGTATTTAATTTTCCATAATTTAATCCCACCCCTCTCCGGAACACCCTTGCATTTATTTCTTTTACAACCCCATCTATAAATATACTAAACAACCATGGTGACATTACACATCCCAGTCTAAGACCTACTTTTACCAGGAAATAGTCTCCCTCTCTTCTACACACCCTAACCTGAGCCTCACTATCCTCATAAAAACTCTTTACAGCATTTAGTAACTTGCAACATCTGTCACATTGCTTCCCTATCCACTTTATCATATGCCTTTTCTAAATCCATAAATGCAATAAAAACTTCCCTACCTTTATCTAAATACTGTTCACATATATGCTTCAATGTAAACACTTGATCTACACATCCCCTACCCACTCTAAAACCTCCTTGCTCATCCGCAATTCTACATTCTGTCTTACCTCTGATTCTTTCAATAATAACCCTACCGTACACTTTTCCTGGTATACTCAGTAAACTTATTCCTCTAATTTTTACAATCTCTTTTGTCCCCCTTCCCTTTATATAAAGGGACTATACACGCGCTCTGCCAATCCCTATGTACCTTCCCCTCTTTCATACATTTATTAAACAAAAATACCAACCATTCCAACACTATGTCTTCCCCTGCTTTTAACATTTCTTTCATGATCCCGTCAGTTCCAGCTGTTTTACCCCCTTTCACTCTATGTAATGCCTCACGCATCTCCCCCACACTCGCATCCTGCTCTTCTTCACTCCTAAAAGATGGTATACTTCCCTGGCCAGTGCATGAAATTACCGCCTCCCTTTCTTCATCGACATTTAAAAGTTCCTGAAAATTTTCTCACCATCTACCCAAAACCTCCATCTCCCCATCTACTAACTCCCCTACTCCGTTTTTAACTGACAAATCCATTTGTTCCCTAGGCTTTCTTTACTTGTTTAACTCTAAAAATTTTTCTTACTTTCATTAAAATTTCTTGACATTGCCTCTCCCACTCTATCATCCGCTCTCCTTTTGCACTCTTTCACCACTCTCTTCACCTTTCTTTTACTCTCCATATACTCTGCTCTCCTTATAACACTTCTGCTTAGTAAATACCTCTCATAAGCTAACTTTTTTTTCTTTTATCACGCCCTTTACTTCATCATTCCACCAATCACTCCTCTTTCCTCCTGCACCCACCCTCCTATAACCATAAACTTCTGCCCCACATTCTAATACTGCATTTTTAAAACTATTCCAACCCTCTTCAACCCTCCCCCCCCCCACTATTCATACCTGCACCAGCCCACCTTTCTGCCAGTAGTTGCTTATATTTCACTCGAACTTCCTCCTCCCTTAGTTTATACACTTTCACCTCCCTCTTACTTGTTGTTGCCATTTTCCTCTTATCCCTTCTACCCCTTACTAAAATATTAGTGGAATAAATAGCATTCTGAAGTTTAGACCATTTGGCAATGTAATGAGACAGTAGGCCATTTACAAAAACCAGGAATAAGATTCACATTAGGAATGTTATATATAAGCAATAACTCAAGAAAACAACATTTTATGTCTAGTACTAAGGTAGTTTGGTGATTGTCCTTGATTGCAAAAATTGCCTCAGAAAAGCTGAATTCTTGCTCTCATTTACATACCTTTTGTTTCCAACCCTCTTGATTGCATTAGGAGAGCTTTAACCAGAAACTTCAGATTCTCTCTGATCTCTTTTCCTGACTTAGATCTTGTTTAACCCTTTCAGGGTCCAAGGCCAAAATCTGAAATGGTGCCCCAGTGTCCAAGAATTTTCAAAAAAAAAATTGTTATTTTTTTCTTATGAAATGGTAGAGAATCTTTTTGTGAATGTAATAAAACAAAAAATACGAAATTTGATGGGAAATTGACGAAATTATGCTCTCATGAATTTTGATGTGTCAGCGATATTTACGAATCGGCGATTTTGCCGACTTTGACTCCCATTTTAGGCCAATTACATTATTCCAGTCGACCAAATTCTTAGCTATTTCACTAGGATTACTTCTATTCTATCGATTGAGCACAAGAAATCGCCAAGTCAACTGTTTCAACTACAAAATAAAGTGACCGGAAATTGGTAATTTGGCCAATTTAACACAAAGTTCAAAATATTCCAATTTCAAAATAGGATCCAGAATAAACAATGTAGGTATTCTTGGCACTAAACTAACATTTCCTCTGTTCATTAGTTACGTTTTGAGGCTTTACAAATAAATTCCATTTTGATTTTTTATTCACATAATGAATTTTTATTCACACCAAAAAATAGAAGATTTACTGTTATGCAATATTGTAATAATTGTATAAATATCATCACCACATTTATGAATGTATATTAGACCCACCAGCTGGCGTGTATTAGACGTGTGAGGTCGTTTGTTTACTCTTGAACATCGGCAAAAAATTTAACATTTCCGCCACTTTGAGCTCAGTTTCAAGCCATTTCCAGTGCTAAAACCAATCAAAATTATCTCTATTTCTGTAATATGTCTTCCATTCTATCAAATGAGACCAAGAAATCACAAATACAACTATAAAAAACATACGAAAAAACACTGCAAAGTCGCTGTTTTAATAAAAATCACGGTCTCAGTTTTTTTCCTCTCATTATACACAGTGTGCTGCAGGATTTGTTTTATGTGGTGCACACATACCACATAGATGTATTCTCTCATATCTAGGCCCAAATTTACCACTCACAGTTTATCAGTGAGCTGAGCTCATGACGTAGATCTACGGTTTGGACACTGAACGTAAAGCCGTAGATCTACGGGACGGACCCTGAAAGGGTTAATGTTTGTGTTATCTGTCCTCTATTTTGTTTCTGTGGTTTTTCTAAAACTTGTAAACCTGGTATCCCTCTGTGTCCCACAGTTTCCTTCAAGGGTTCTTTCATATCCTCTTGCCTCCTGGCTGGTCAAAGCTCTCGCTTTTTTTCTTGGATCTTTTTCTCGTCTTATCTCTCAGGACTTCATTGAACATGCTCGGCTTCATCCAACTTGTAAGTTGCAAAGTCTTGATGTTGATTCCCTCTTCATTAACTTGCTTTTTGCCAAACTAATACCCTTTCTAGTAATCTAGTTCATACCTCTCCTCCCACTGATGCTTCTGGTGTCTACTCCATTTCCTGCTTCTCTTATCCTCTCCAATATTTTGCAGACACTTATCACACACTGATAAACTTAGAATATGAAAGTGTTACCCTTGCCAGCACTAGCAGTGCTCTTTTCTGTCATGTTGAAGCTCAGTCATCCTATTAACCCTTTGACTGTCGCGGCCGTATATATACGTTTACGAGGTACCGTGTTTGACGTATATGTACTCGTAAATTCTAGTTTTCTTTGATTTTATCTTAAGAGTTCTTGGTCTTATTACTATTCCTTTTATATCCATGGGGAAGTGGAATAAGAATCTTTCCTCCGTAAGCCATGCGTGTTGTAAAAGTCAACTAAAATGCCGGGAACAATGGGCTAGTAACCCCTTTTCCTGTAAAGATTACTAAAAAGAATAAGAAGAAAATTGTCAAAGTGGGAAGTCTGAATGTGCGTGGATGTTGTGCAAATGATAAGAAAGAGATGATTGTGGATGTTATGAATGAGAAGAAACTGGATGTCCTGGCTTTAAGTGAAACAAAGCTGAAGGGGGTGGGAGAGTTTCAATGGAGAGGAATAAATGGGATTAGGTCAGGGGTTACAAATAGAGTTAGAGCTAAAGGAGTAGTAGCAATAATGTTGAAGGATAAGCTATGGCAGGAAAAGAGGGACTACAAATGTATAAATTCAAGGATTATGTTGAGTAAAATAAAGA